AGCCTTCACTCTCCTATCACATACCCCACAGGGGTCTATTTTACTTATCACTCGCTCCCCACCTTCCCCACTCACCATTACCTTCGTCGTACCAATATTAACTTTTAACCCTTTCTTTTCAATAACACTTTTCCATCTGTCAAATTTTAACTGCAATTCTTCCATGCTATCAGCCATCAAGACTAAATCATCTGCATACAAAATCTCAAATAACAACCCCTCCATTATGTTTCCACACACAACATCCATCACAATTGCAAACAGAAACGGTGATAACACTGATCCTTGATGCACTCCTACCTTAACACTAAAAGCGTCCGACATCCCCCTTCCAACCCTCACCTTTGTCTTTGCCCCTTCATACAGCTGCATCACAGCTTTAACAAGTCTCTCATTCACTCCTTTCTTCCTCAACGCCCATTCAATGACCTTCCTTGGTACTCGATCAAAAGCCTTTTCTAGATCCACAAAACACATGTACAATCTTCGTTTCTTCTTTCTATAATTCTCCTGCAACATTCTCACCATGAACAACGCATCCACCGTTCCCCTACCAGGCATAAACCCACACTGCATTTTATTAACTGTCACCATACTTCTCAACCTCCTCTCAAGCACCCTCTCCACTACCTTCATTCCGTGCTCTAGTAATTTCACACCCCTGTATGACCCACAATCTCTCACATCTCCTTTGCCCTTATACAACGGCACCAACACACTGTGTCGCCAATCCTCAGGTATACCTTCATCATCAAACATACTGTTACCAATTCTCATCATAACTTCAATTCCTATCACCTCACTCGCTTTTATATGTTCTGCCGCCACTTCCGAAACCCCTGTCGCCTTACCTAGTTTCATTTCTCTAACTGTATACATTTCTCTACTATATATATATATAGTATACAAAAATTTGTGACAAAAACAATAAAAAATACATTTTTTAGTAATCTTAGTTATGTTTAACATTAAATATATCGATGGTAAAATGAACTAGGCGTGCATATATGTATATTATTGCGTAATAAAATTGAAATATATATACATATATAGCTGATTAAAATACCGTGCCAGTACAATACAATACTGATAAATGCGCCTTCAAAAATATATGCATATGTGGTATAGTTTGGAGATAACGCAATGCCAAAGCATCAAAATTTAAGAAAGTTTTTGAATAATTGCTTGTATGTGTTGGATGTATGTACGTATGTATGTATGTATTTATATTATGTATTTATGTATGTATGCAAAATAGTATGTATGCATGTATGCAAGTGATTATATACGTGAATAATTATATCCTAATGTATATATGTGTGTGTGTGTGTTATGTGTGTGTGTGTATGTACATACGTTTGACACATTAAAATTAGTTGCATGGTGAGCAATTTGCGATTCAACAAGTGGGGAAAAACATGAATGCATACACACACACGCACGCACGCACACACACACGCACGCACACACACACACACACACATATAGATATATTAATATATAAATATTGATCAAGGCATAGAGTTATTATATATTTTTTTAAGCTTATTGATATTACTCTAAGTGATTTTACAATAGAATGTATTGCAACATATGTTTTGGAATTGGTAGTACAAATGGAAAGATTATTAAGTCATAAGTATGCTGTATAGAAAGTATAAACATCAATAAGCAATGAGTAATGTCGTATTTGTGTTTGTACGTGTGTGTATTTCTGTCTTTGTATATATGTGTGTGTTTGTGTGTGTGTATAAAAATTTATCATGTACATTGGTTTTCATTTTTAAGAAAGTATTGATACAACAAAAGTCAATGAAGGCTCAAGTACTGTAACAAAAAATTAAAAAGTTCTTTTGAAAAAAAAGCCAAGCACGCACAAACACACGCACGCACACACACACACACACACACACACACACACACACACACACACACACACATATATATATATATATTTTATTGGTAAAAGGAATTGAAAGGAATATATAGTTGATCATCAAAAAAGATTTGTACAAATAAATGAATAACTGACTATAACCGTCATAAACAATAAATAATGATGGTTCTGATAAATTAATAAAAATGACAAATAATAAAATTATTAATAATAATAACTAATAATAAATAATACTAGATTAATCAACGGTGGTCATCGCGTTATGAAAGTACTCCTCATTGTATGCCTCCAAAGCTGGATATATAACCTGAATGAATGCGAGTGGATGAATTAATGAATTAGTGAATGAATGAAAGAATGAGTCAATCAATCAATCAATCAATCAATCAATCAATCAATCAATCAATCAATCAATCAATCAATCAATCAATCAATCAATCAATCAATCAATCAATCAATCAATCAATCAATCAACCAACCAATCAATCAATCAATCAATCAAAGAGTAAATGATTGAATAAATTAACAAATGAATAAAGAAATGAACAAGCAAATAAAAAGAATGGAAGAATTTCCAGACCTCAGTACTTAGATAGATATTCAAGAACGTCAATGCCTTTGCCAATTTCTCTTCAGATGAACTGTCTTCTGATCCTAGCCAATGCTTTTAAATCAAATAATAATTTCAACAATTAATTGTTTTTTATTAATAAAAGATTTATTAATTACATCATTAAATTATATGTAGGAATCTATTTAATCTATGAATTTTTTAAAATCTAGCTACATTGATCTTTCGCTTTAATACCCAATCAATTGGAAAGTTTACATAGTAAATAAAATGATTGATTTTATTGACTGGTGTTTTGAATGAATAAATAATTGGTTAATTGGCAGCATTCTTAACCTCTGGCCCCAACAGATTACACTTGTACATTTTCAGGACATCATAGTAACTGCCCCTCTGATCTAATCCCAATCTTGGAAATTTCTTTAATTTAATATTAATTAATTCTTTAAAATTAATTGGACTGTTTAAAAATATGAATGAATAATTCCATTATTAAGTTTAGTATATATAATAATAATAAAATATTATTTCAAATCATAACCAATCAATCAATGACCAATCAATCAATAAATAAATCAATCAATAAATCTATCAATCAATCAGTCAACCAATCAATCAAATCAGCAAATAAAATATATTAATAATTGAATAAAAAAAAAGATACTTTTGATGAGCGCGTTGATGAAATGTTTTGAAAAATGACTAATTTCTGTGCACAGGATAGGAAAGAACCCATATCGTCGTTCTTATGCTATTATTTCTTTCCTATCATACTAACTTATTATACTAATTATCAGTTTGTTAAAAAAAATTTTCTTAATTAATAAAACAATTTTTTTTTTAGAAAAAAATGACAGAAGTTTAAAGGAAAAAAATAAGTTTAAAAATGAACGCAGGTTCTGGTTGTTACTTTCTACGCATATATGTAAAATAATATACAATTAAGGGTAGGCCATGGAATTATATAACTGGAAGCGCCCTACCAGCGTTTTAACATTGAAAATTTTTTTCAACGGGCAAGTTACCTCTGGAAGCAAGTTCCTAAAAATTAATTATTCATGAGCATTTTGGTTTATTTTTAGAAAAATCTGAGATATAATTAGAAAAAATCTTGGCCTTCCCGAAGTTATGTTAATGACTCTGCCGATCTGCATTCAGCTCGTTTGTTAAAATTTATTTCGTTTTCAGCATTCCGTGAAGTTTTAGGTTTTATAAGGTGCCGTAGAATAGATATTGCCATTTTTTTGCTTTACCATTGAATTATATATATATATATATATATATATATATATATATATATATATATATATATATACTTCTGAACTACCTCGTATTATTAATAACTTTTCTTTCTCTAGTCAACTATATGCTGATGATTCTTACATTTATACTTCTTTTCCTCCATCTAATCTCAATAGTGTTCTTCATAATTTATCTCTATGTCTTTCTTCAATTATCGCATGGTCTGACTCTATGTGTCTTAAACTTAATCCTTTTAAGTTTGAATTAATTTGTTTTAATAAATCTAAACACTCTATTACTATTCCTCCTATTATCTTACCTGATTCTAAAACTCTTGATGTCTCTCATAAGTTTCGTAGTCTAGGTTTTATCTTTGATTCTACTATGCCTCTCTCTTCTCAGATTAATAGTGATGCTAGAAGCTCTTACTTTCATCTACGTAGAATAAAAAAACTTTTGCCTTTTCTTGATGATCCTACTCTTCTCCTTCTTGTTACTTCGTTAGTCTTATCTAGGATTGATTATTGTAACTCGCTCTACTATGGTCTTCCTGACTCTATACTCTATCCTTTAAGTAAAGCTTTTAACTCTACTGCTCGTCTAGTTGCTCGTGCCCCTTTCTTTTCTCATATATCTCCATATCTTGTTCTCTTGCACTGGCTACCTATAAAATATAGAATAATTTTTAAAATTTGCACGTTCATGTATAAGTCTCAATCTAAATTATTTCCTAAGTATTTATCAGATATATTAATTGAACCTAAACGCCCCGGTTTACGATCGTCTTCTTCTTCTCGCTTTTTCTTAACTTGTGTTAAACACTCTTCTGCCAAATCTGCTTTTGCTTTTTCTGGTCCTTTTCTCTGGAACTCTCTACCTATTTCTCTGACTACTTCTCCATCACTTGCGAAGTTCAGAGCGGATCTCAAGACCCATCTGTTTTCAAAATTCATTGAGGAGCGCTGTTGAACACCGCGGAAATAGCGCTTTATAAGCTAATTGATTGATTGATTGATTGATTGACTGACTGATTGATTGATTGATTGATTGATTGATTGATTGATTGATTGATTGATTGATTGAAAAAAGTCGAAAGTTCGTTCACTTTTAAACACAGCGTCAAGTAATTGGTACGACAGAATGTGAATACCAACACAAAATAAAAGAAAAACTTCGTAAAAGTTCGTAAAACTTTAAAACTGAAGTTAATGAAATTAGTGGTCCTATTTCTTTAATGATGAAGATTTTAGCGAATGGGGAAATCGTTCAAGATGATGATCCGAGAGTTCAGGCAAAACCACAAGCTTCAACAAGATCAGCTGTATTTGTTATTTAATTTTAATTTTTAAATTAACTAATTAAATATTAAATTAAAAAAATATAAACAGTTTATTTAATTTTTGATATTTATTATTTTTATTTTGAAGTTAAGTATTTTATTTTATATTTATAAAAAAATTATATTTGATAAGACAGGCTATCTCTATGCTATTCTATTCTATTGCTATCCTATTTCAAATAATAGAAAATAGAGTATTTGATTGTATTGATATTGAAATAATTTTTAATTAATAAAAAATAAAAATAATTAGAAACTGATATAGAAATATATAACAATAAGATCTCTATTGTTATTTATTTTGATTTCAATTTTTCTGTATTTTGCTATTTTATTAATTATCTTGAATTTGAAAATAAAAAATTGTAATATCAATCTACATTCTTTAGCTTTGAACATTATGTTAACGATGCCCTCAACAACTTTCAACAGAAGCAGACCACTCAAGACATCAGAAGACACAATGTTGAGACAATTCCTCCAAATGATGCTAATGTTGTAGCTCATGGACCAAGTTATTCAATATTTGATACACTAAACAATCAGTTAGTGTCGGTTGGAGTACCCACATGGAATTTAGGACCCTATCCTGTTAAGCCAATTGTATCAGTAGGCTTTATTTTATCTATCGCTGTAATGGGATTTAGAGGTCTTTTATTTTCTGGACTTTTGTTTTTTGTGGTAAACTACAGCCAGTCCGCTGACCCAAGGTTGCCTCTTCCCGATTTCTCCAGATTTGGTTTTGGTAGGCATTCTAGAAATCAACCACAAAGAAACCATTCAGCAAACATGAATACACTGCATTCTACTGATAGAAATGTAGCTTCAACTAGTGCTGATAAATCTAATAAAAATGGACCCAGTGATAAAAAATATTTCGCCGGCAAGGGGAATAAATTGTCATAAATTTTTTTTAGTTGATTAACCGTTATAAAATTATTCTTTTTGAATTAACACATTTCAATGGTTTTTATGGTTTTCAATTTAATAACTTGAAATAAATTTTTTTGGCCGTTAAAAGTATTTCAGAAGTAGAAAGTCAATGTTGTGTTTGTGGTTTCTGGCCGTTCAAATTCGTAAAAATTCAGCGCTAAAATTTTGTCTATCTAATTCACTTTTAAATATATTGACTTTTATGCCTGCGTCAGTCAGTTATTATTGTCGGTTTTAGTTCTTGCTGAATTCGTAATTTTTTCGTTAGAAATAAAATGAGTCGTCGTTACAACGGTCCCCCGGATACGGAAAGTTTGTTTTCTTTGAAAGTCGACAATCTCACTTTCCGAACAACTGTTGAATCTCTGAGGAAAGCATTCGAGAAATACGGAGAAATCGGAGATGTGTACATACCACGTGACCGCTACACTCAGGAGAGCAGAGGGTTCGGGTTTGTGAGATTTTACGACGAAAGAGACGCCGAAGATGCGATTGACGGTATGGACGGAAGAATTATGGACGGCAGAGAGCTGAGGGTCCAGCTGGCCAAACATCCGCGACCCCCAAACAGATATGGCGGAAGTGGAAGCAGACGTGATTCAGGCCGACGACAACGGTTGCTAAATTTAAATCAGTTTTAATTTTGATAATGACAAATTCTGAATTTTTTTTTATAAATTTTTTAAAATTAAATAAAGTGAAAACAATATTTAAAAAAATGAAGAAATTGTTTAAGTAATTAATTAGTCATGTTACATTTTGATTTGTGACATAATTACACAATGAATAATTTAATAATTAAACCTGCATATATTTCTACATAGCACAAGGTCACTCTCTAGATCCCGTTCTAGGTCTTATGATAGGCGTGGCAGGTATTCAAACAATGAGAGCAAAAGGGGAAAAAGATATTCAAGGAGTGCAAGTCGTGAAAAGTCAAAGTCAAAGAGCCATTAAAAGGACAGACAGACAGACGCTAATCGATCTAGTGAAGAAAATGAAGAATAAATTCTTTTCTGAACCATCAATTGCAGTCCTGAAAAACTTCAACTGTGATTGAAGGTTTATATATAATTGTTTGCTTTCTTTATTTATAGTTATACGTATCTTTCAAACAATGACTGTTAGATTAATCTGATTATATTATATCCCTGATAATTTTTAATGTAAGGTATTTTTTTATTAATTTTAAAAGACAATGTTACATTAAATATAATGAAATAATAAATATATATGTAGGAGTAGCTGTGGCAGTGTGCTGTTGCGGTTGTAAGTATTGTAGCAGGTCGCAGTTTGCTGCTGTTGATTATTGCAGTTTATTCACTGTCTGCCCTAAACAGCAGGTTTTAAACTAAAGAGAAAAATTTCTGTTCCATGTTTTGTGTTTTAGCTCCTACCTTGCTGTGTATGTTGATCATTGGTTGTTTGGTGATTTTAGTTAACGTTTGTGTCAAAATCATTATATTTGCATCAGTTTATTCTGTTTGACTAATCTAACAAACATTTATTTTGTCCTGAATATTTTAATTAAAAATATGTCAAGCATTTGTTTTCATTTAATTACACAAAAAAAAAATTAAATCACTGTTTCAAACATTTATGAATAAATAGAAAACAAAAGAAATCACCCAAACTGTCAATAAAAAGTTTATGATATAAAATAGATTAGTATCTGTATTTAGTAGAATAATCCTTGGGAGATACCACAAGACCTCTACCCTTCCTGGCCCCCCTAAAAATGGTTTCGATGATGTCGATAAACTCCTGTTGATCTTCCATAGCCCAATTAATCTTGTTGTTATTACCAGTCCCTAAATCAATCATGATGTGCTTGTTCCTGTAGAAGAACATCACGGTGCATGGGTCGTAGAGCTCATACATTTTGTTGAAGTCTGGAACCTCCGTTATGTCAACTAAGTATATTGTTGCAAAGTTCTTCACTCTTTCTGCCACATTATACAGAGTTTCATCCATAACCTGAAAATGAAATTTTATAAAAATTTGGAAAATCAAGCTGTTTGTGGCCGTAATAAATAAAAGAAAACGAAAAAATTGAGAAGGTTGTGAATAGGAGACCGAAACGTTCGCCTGAGGCCAGAATTCGTAAAAATTTAGATAATTCGACACTTGATTAAATTGAATTAAATCAAAAAGTAAATTTTAAAGCGCTCACCATGCATGTTGGATCCCAGTCGTGGCCGAACCGTATGATGACCACTCTGTCTTCTTCAGACAGAATTGCTTGGTCCACCTGCCAGCCATTCTTCAGGTGCTGAAGCATGTAAGACATTTTTTTTTCAAATAAAATTTCCTAATAAGTTTATTAAAATTACCTTTTTCAAATATTTGAAGAGACGGAACCTCGAATACTCGCAGGTAAAACGAACCGAATGCCAGAATTAGCAACGCACTACACCCGATACAAATACATTTTAACGCGATGCCAAAGATTAATTTTAGTTAAAATAATTCAGTTGCTGATAAGTCTTTGATTAACTTTAATTCAAAATTTTGAATTTAAATAAAATATATATTTTTTGTCAAATAAGTTAAAATTAAATGAATTTTTATTAAAATTAACGCATAAAAAGTTTTGATTAGGCGAAAATGTCTAGTATCGATATGTGCGGAATTCACTTTTATTTTTTTCTCACTACAGTCAGATTTTAATTTAGAAACAATTTCAAATTTTAAAATTATCATTTTTAGTTAGAAAATTTAATTTAGTTTATTTTCAATAATTTATTTTTAAATTTATATCCTGATTGAATTTGTTGGTATCCGCTAGAATTATTTTAAAATTTATAAATTTAGTGAGGCGTGCACCTGCTTGCAACCAACCAGCATCAATTAAGAAGTGAAAAGCGAGTTCCGTTGTTTAGCTTAGCGGTTTAGGTGTAAAGTATAAAATAAATCGAATCGATTATGATGTATATAATAATTTAAATTCACATTTTTGTTATTTTTTTTCTCAAACCAGACGATAAAACAAAAAATGGCATTTCCTCAAGATGCCCAAGATCCTTTTACGAAGGCCATCACATATTTGAATCTGGCAGCTGGGGCCGACAACAGTTACTATGATATGGCCGCCTTGCTTGGAAGTGATACTTTCCGTAAGTAAATTTTTTAATTCAATTGAAATGGTGTAACTGTAATCAATAATTAAGCAAATTAATAACAGTGTAATCTGTAATGTAATATGATTTGTTCACTGCCTGTAGTGTATTGTATGGCCTGTGTGGTGTATGCATGTGTGTGTGTGTCTGATGTAGAAACACATGTGAAATTTTCATATTACTTCAATTATGAAAATTCTAGATGATCCAACCGTCAGTGGTGATGATCAAAATGATTACCCAGTTTTGAGTTTTTCAACCCCACAGATGGCACCTCCGAAGTTCAGGATGTTGCCGTTGGAGCTACAAGAAAAACTTAAACGTCAGTACACTAATCTTCATCTTGTGTGAACATTATTTAGGATATTAATTTTTTAAATGTTTAAAGTTTAAAAAATTTATATTTTATACCATTTTCGAACCTTAACATTTTTTTAATTTTAGTACTTGTATTCGATCTCACACACGCACACACACACACACACACACACACACACACACATGCACACACTTACATTATATACGTACAAAACAAATGTATTCATTTATATATTTGTGTAGACAGTCTGCCAGCCATGCAGATAATATGAATATTTTTACCCATATTTCTTACTCACCTTGTTATATAATTATGTACATATATAATATATGCATATATATTTGTTTATTTTATATTTCCCTGCCAGATCTACAATATAACTGTCAAATGGGAGTCTTCACAGAAATAGGCAGAGCATGGTTGGCCGTCGATAAAGAGTTTTTTCTATGGACTTATGAAGACGGGTTGGTTCTTCGTCATAATTTTATCAATTCCTCTTGTTAATTAATCTATTAGTTGATTAATTACTTTATTAATAGTTTAATTAAAATGTTGAAAGCTAAATTATTGCTTTTATTGTTGTTGCTATTTTTTTAGTTTGGTTACATAAAGTGCTAAGCCTAATTCAAAGTACTTTTAAATTTTATCGCTAGAGGCTTTACCATCATCATAGTTACAGCATCATAATTCATAATTATAATTTATCATAATTCATAATTTGTCATCATAATTCATCCTGACCTTATTTCTTCATTAGCAATGACATTGCCTATTTTGACGGTCTGAATGATGTCATCGTTGCCGCCGCTCTCGTGAAGCCAAAGCCAAGTTTGTCCTTCTGCTTCTTTGTTTCTGTTTCTAGAGTTTATGTTTGTTTTTGTTTCTATGGTCCATGTTTTTTTATTTTTATGGTCCTTTTTTCAGTTTTGCTTTTATGTCTGTGGTCTTTTCTATTATTAATTGTTTGATTGTTTGTTTGATTGATTGTTTGATTGGTTGATTGATTGATTATTTGGATATTTTTAGAAGCTAATTTTTTTGATTATGTTAATTGCAATCAATGGAATGACAATTATTTTTTACCATCATCATCGTCGTCATCATCATCTTCGTCGTCCTCATCATCTTTGTCGTCACCACCATCGTCGTCATCATCATCATCGTCGTCGTCATCATCATCGTCATTATCGTCATCGTCGTCATCAGATATTTTTCAGTCGCACATTTCTCACCTGCTGTGCCTGGCCACAACTGTTGAAGTGCATCTGCTGGGCGTGTCTTTCACGTCATCCTCGTCGTCATCGCCCTTCGGTTAGTTGTTCAATTATAGGTAATTATCCAATGGGATGTGTTGGTTTTTATTTAATTAAAGTGACTAATTAATGTGAGGATGATGATGAGGATGATGTTTATGTAGATGGAAAATGGATGGATGGAAAATGGATGGATGGATGGATGGACGGACGGACGGAGAGATAGATAGATAGATAGATAGATAGATAGATAGATAGATAGATAGATAGATAGATAGATTGATTGATACATTGATACATTGATTGATTGATAGATAGGTAGATAACTAGATAAATAGATAAATGAATAGATACATATATATAGATATGGATAGTTATAGATAGACAGATAGATTGACAGTTACATTTTTTCTCGAGGTAACGAGATGTTGACGTTACTCATGTTGTGGTTATATTCTCGCAACAACAACATCAACAACACCAACATCTTATTGATACATAACCCAGGCAAATCACCATCTCTATCACTCCTAACAAATAGGCAGCAGCAGTAGTTGTAGTAGCAGCAGCAACACCAGCTCGCAGCAGCAGCTTCAACAACCACATCAAATAATGACGTACAGTAACTTACAGATCCTTCCAGAATCGTTGTACTTCTACTCGACTGACAACGTGCACATTACAATGATTGTTGGCACTGACAATGGCAGGGTTTTCCTGGCTGGTAGAGATGGCTGTCTCTATGAATTGGATTATCAGGTGTTTTTCTTTTCATGTCGAATTTATTTGTAGACTAAAATTTTGTTGCTGCTGTTGTTGTTGTTTTCGTTGTTGTCGTTGTCGTTGTTGTCGTCGTTGTCGTTGTTGTCGTCGTTGTCGTTGTTGCTGTCCTCGCTAAATGTCCAGGATTGTTTTATTTTCTTATCTCTTGAGATTTGAGTGTATTTCTTTAGAGGGTGAGAGATGTATAACAAACAACAAACCAATCAACAACAAACCAATCGACAATAGACCAATCAACAACAAACCAATCAACAACAGACCAATCAACAATCAACATCCAACTAAACACAAAATCTATCCAGGGTGATTATGGGTGGTTTGGCAGAAGATCGTGCAGAAAGATCAATCACTCTACCAGTATTTCGTCCTATCTCATACCTACATTTGTCAGCTCATACCTAGTTGATGATGGTCGGTTGGTCGGGTGGTTTGTCGGGTAGTTGGTTGGTTGGCTGGTTGATCGATTGGTTGGTGGGTTGGTTGATTGATTGTTCATTAAAATGTACATTGTAAAATAAATAATTTATGATAATTAGGGAACTGAATAAATTATAATATTCAACGGTCAGATCCTCTGGTGCAGATATGTGTGGATGAGACTAGAAATATATTATTCACCAGATCTTCAAAGAGTACTATACAGGTTTGGATGATGATGATGATGACGAAGATGGTAACACGATGATAGTGATGAAGATAATTAAATGAAAAATTCACCATCACTATCATCACCAACATCATCATCGTCATCATCATCATAACTCACACAGTTGTACTACCTCGGCAAAGATGGCACGAAGCTGATCAGCATTGACTCCATCAGCCATGATAAGAGTGTCAAAAAGATCATGAACATGATCAAGTATGTGGTTCTTTAACATTCATTGATTCGTAGTACACCCTCCCACACACACACACACACACACACACACACACACACACACACATTCACATATTAACACTTACAAATGTCACACACACACATTACAGAAATGTAGACAGGTCAAAGTTCAGCCCGATCGTTCAGATGTGTTGCGTGCGTGCATTTGAATCTGACCGCATCCATCTTGTAGCTGTTACATCTTCGGGGATTCGATTCTACTACACGACTCGAGCTCCCACGGAAAATGCTCCACCACCGACGGCCGCCCCTAACTGCCTAACTCTCTTTCATATTAGGATACCCCCCGGTAGGTGTGATAGTTCAATTTTTCCTTGCGTTGTTTTTTTTAATTGGGCTTTTCACTCTTTGTCCTTCTGTTAATGTTTTTGGTTTTTTTTGTGATTTCCATAGCTGAGTTGCTGCTTTTATTAAAGTGAGTTGATATTTTTTCAATATTCAAGAGAAATGTTTGTTCCTGATTCACGAAAAGTTCAAATTCTTTGAGTTCATTTATTTGGTTAACTGATTTTTAAAATTTTTTTTCTTGTGCAGGGTTTTTGGGTCAAATTAATGCTATGTCGTCATCGATGACGTCAACGATGTTTCACGTTGAACAGCCAAACAATGTTCACATGGCTGCAAGTTGTCGAGGTCTGTTGGTGGTGTTGATGGTGATCTTGTTTGCTATTGTGCTAGATAGTAGAGCCCCAAACAAAGATGATTTTTTTCATCCGCAGAGTTCGCGTCTGCAACCGCCAGCATTCTCGCTGCTCATTATCCGCACCATGAATCGACCTTCTTAATCTCATGTTTAAAATTAGAAGATAGCAATACTGGAGGGCAATTTATTTAAAAAAAATTTAACAAATTTCGAATTTAATAATTGAAATAACATCGGCTGGAACCACGGGAACGAAATGAACGACGAGGAACTCAAACAAGATATTTATTTATTTATTTAATACTTATACTATAACACTTTCAATGCGGTATCAAATATGGCTTTCGACGCAAACAACCAATCGCTTTCCAGTATCAGATACTTAATGTCGCTACTGTTCAATATCTCGCATGTCTTTTCTTTAATACACTTAACTTAACGGACGTACTAGATGACTCGCTGCTAGAAGGCTCGAGTTCTTTCTCAAACTGCGTGTGACAATAGCCAATACATTAGTGACGGTTCTAACAATACAATATGCTAACCTAACCTGTGCAACACACCACACATACACACACACACACACACACACACACACACACACACACACACACACACACAGGTACAACACTGATGATAAGCAGCAGCAGTAGTAGCAGCAGCAGCGGCAACATCGTTAGCAGTAGCAGTAACAACAACTTTATCAACATGAACACAACATACATGAACAATGGAGCTAGTGATGATGGTGATGTTTTGTGGTCTTTATGTAATGATGCTTTCCCATTTTCTAGCCAACTGAGCGAATCTTTTGTAAGTTTGTCTCTGTCTGCTTATGTGTGTGTGTATGTGTGTATGTGTGTACGTGTGTGTGTGTGTACGTGAACGTGTACACATTTATGTATATGAGTATTCTTTGTGTATTTCTATTCATAGCTTTGGTTAACACGTTAATACCTGCTGCATATCAGAACTATATAGAAAGATAGATGGCAATGAGTTGTTGGTGAGTTTGAAGATGGATGCTGAAGAAAGATACATTGAACAGACTGATGGTCATTATGCTGCACTCAGACCCAGAATGCAAATGATCTACATGAGATATAAAAGGCAGACTGCATAATGTTTCACTAGACCATTTGTATACGCTTGTGTACATTTTTATACGCATAAAAAATTTGCAGGAAGCAAACCAATTGGCTGGGAGAATTTGGAGTATTGAAGAAATCATCACACAAACCAATCAAATTCAAGAGCTCATCGAGAGTAGGTTTACTCCGACCAATAAGGATGCTGATAAGTTACCTGGACCAACCAATGACGTCATTTTCCCCGACGCCCCCGCTGTTGTGACGCAGTTATATTCGACCAATAAGAAATTCGCTATTGTCTCAACTGTTGTCAGTACAAAATTTTGTTCCTTAATTAATTTTACACTTATCACCAACAACAATATTACTATTATACATTACTGCTGCTACTACTACTACTTCTACTACTACTACTACTACCACTAATTATTATTATCATTATTATTATTATTATTAATTAAAGTAAACAGCATCATCATCATCACAACCGACCGACCAGGGCATATGCATAGTAACAAAATTGAAGCCTTGCGATCAATTAGCTCAGCTGCTGGTCAAGTACAACGTCGATTCAGAACCAGTCCGCATGTACTTTCAAGTTTTGAAGGTCGTCATCATCATCATCATCATTATTATTATTATTAAATTAATTTATGTTTATTTACTTTTATTATTTTTTTATTTATTTATCATTCAGGAGCAAGCTATGACCAATTGCCTTATGATAATGTGCTCCAAAGATGCTGCCCATTCACAGGTAAATTGACATTCATTCATTCGTTCGTTCGTTCGTTTGTTCGTTCATCGTTTGTCTGTTCATTCGTTTGTCCGTTTATTTAATCAATACATTGTTCATTTATTCATTTGTTCATTCACTCGTTCATTTCTTCATCTAATTTCTTTACCAGTTAATCAATCTAGTCACAAGGGCCTACAACATGTACAAGTGGGACCATATAACAAGCCTAAATGCAAGGAACGTTCTTATTGGTCAGTATGGTTTTCCCTGATTTGAAATGATAATTCTGAATGGTCGGTTTTGTTGGCAATGATTTAAATCATTGATTCTGATTGGTTGGTGTCATTGGCTGTAATATGAATTTTAGTTTCTGGTAGGTTGGTGTTCTTTATTCTGAACTGAATCATTCTTTTGGATTGGTTTTTTTGAACGTTTGTGTGATTCATATGAATTAATCAGTATTAATATCATTAACCTTAGTGGACTGTAACATTAATATTAATAATTATAATTAAGAATAATTTTTAATTATAATAATAAATAAATAATATAAATTATAATATAATATATAATAATAAAATATAAATATAATATAAATTATAATATAATATAAATATAAATTATAATATAATATAATATAAATTATAATATAAATTATAATATAATCTAAATTATAATATAATCTAAATTATAATATAATTATGGTAGGCCAGACGTCAACTCCATTGCCTGGACACGGTCAACAGCCATTACCAGGCAGAAACCTATCCTTCATGAATTCACCCAACCCTAATCAAAGACACCTGACTCCATCTTGGCCAACGTCCCCACTGTCGACATCATCGCCACTTCCGCCACCGTCGTCGAGTGTGGCTGGCATCGGCGGGCCACCGCAATTATTATCAGCAGTGCCCCAGCCAGCGTCATCATCATCATCATCGTCGTCGTCTTCTGGTGTGATGTCTCTTAATCATAGGAGTCTGTATTTATTTCTGGCTAGAATATTGAGGTTGGCTGGTTGGGATGATGATGATAATGATGATTGTTATAATGGTGATTGTAGTTGGTTGTAGTTATAATAATAATAATAACAACAACAATTATCACCATTGTTATCAGACCAGTGTGGTCTAAACCGATCGCAGTGTCTGTGATGCACAAGGATATGAAGACAGTTTTGGTATGATTTGTAGTTTCATCGTCGTCATCTTCATCGTTATCGTTAAATCATCATCTTCATTTATCGTTCTTCATTCACTCGTTCGTTCATTCGCTCGTTCATTCATTCATTCATTCATTCATTCATTCATTCATTCATTCATTCATTCATCTTCCCAATCAGATATCAAGTCGATTGAATAGCAACCAGCTGTCCATCATCTTACAAAAGTGCCAAGATTTCAAGGGCCTCCTCAAAGACAACCCCTCCCTTCTTCAGGGGCCGCCCAGCACTTCCGCGACCCCCTTCAATCATTCCGGGGGTCTTAATGCCCCCTCATTGTATGGTGCCACCAATGGTCATCATTATGGTGGGGGTATTTATGGTGGTGCTGGCGGCGGTCATAATGTCAGGTTGGCTGGCTGGTTGGTTGCTTGGCTGGTTGGTTGCTTGGCTGGCCTGTTTGCTCTCTACGTTACGTTAGATGGATGAATGAACGAATAAATGGATGAATTGTTTTATTACCATTATTTTTATTCATCTATTTGTTTATTTATTTGTGATTTGATTTGTAATATTCATTTCAGTTACCCTCCAACGCCTTACAATGCTGCCACCAAAGGTTACTACTATAACGGGCAACATTCTTTTATTTATCGAAAAGACAAAATCCAAATGAAATCAATCGAAAATCATTAATTATATATCAGAGTGTAAATGAGTGAGATGTAAAATATAATGTACGTTCCTCTCATGCTCTTTGATCGACATGTGCTTGAGAGTAAGAAAATTGGTTAAGTAGTGTTTCCGTCACAGTATATGCTATATGACGAGCGAATTATCGCGTTAATCAGTTTTTCGTTAAAAAATTTCGGTTGTAATATTTTAAACAAAGTTAGATTAAAATTGTTATAAAAACCCACAGGTGATATTTTGAATGAATTAATAATTAACGAACAGTTATTATAGACTAAATTTAAGTTCAAATTAAAGTTTTTATATATCTGGCGTTTGTATTCACGTGATGAAGCTAGGTTGGTTGCTTTGTCTCCTCAATGGTACATAATAGTAATAATAATGATAATAATAATATTATGCATTATATATATATAAATATGTATATTATATATATATATATATATATATATATATGGTTTATATATGTTATGATAATAATAATGATAATGTTGTTGGCGATGATGATGTCGAACAATATTCAGAACCGGATATGGAAGAATCGATATCTTTGAAGTATTTAGAATCTCTGGTCGACATCAGCTGTCAGTGTTTGGCCGTGTGGAAGATTCTAGCTGACCATCAATTCTACATCATCGCCGGAAAGTTAACTAAGGTTTGATTGGTTGGTTGATTGATTGGCTGGTTGGTTGATTGATTGGTTGGTTGATTGATTGGCTGGCCGATTGATTGGTTGGTTGGTTGTTAATGTTAATTGACTGATAACTAATTCGTTCATCTCTTTTCTAATAGAATCATTTTAATGGTACTTAATTCCTCCAACTCATCATTTCTTAATTAATGTTCAAATTTATTCAAAACTAGGACTACCAAGACAGGCTTTTGGCCAGTACATTTGACCAATTAGCTTGCAGTGGTAATCGTGACGTCTGCAAACAGTTAATTAGGGCTTTGATTGAGTTTTATATAGAAGATAATGCCTCAATCGATGTTGTCAGCGCTCGACTCAGAGAATATTGCTCGTATTTTTATAGTGCTCTTGACCAGGCACAGACTAAGGTCGGTTTGCTGGTTGGTTGGCTGGTTGGTTAACTGGCTGGTTTTGATTGATTGATTGATTGATTGATTGATTGATTGATTGATTGATTGATTGATTGATTGATTGATTGATTGATTGATTGATTGATTGATTGATTGATTGGCCGGTTGTTTGGCTGGTCGGTTGCTAGGCAGGTAAAGAGTTTGTTGATTGGTTGATTGATTTAAGAAATAATTTTTCCTCAATATTTTCTCATTCTTGAACTAAGGGTAGTGAATTTATAAAAGTGGCAAAGACAGTTCACAGTGTTGCTGAGAAGAATAAACTTATCAATTTGGCTCTTCAGGTCTGTCCCAACGATGATGATGATAATGATGACGACGATGATGTTGATGATGATGACGACGATGATGATAATGGTGATATCATTCTTTCGAGTTGATTGTAACAACTTTTCTTCCAAACAACAACCATCCAGCAATACAAAATAGTATGCAACTCGGAGGTCACCGCACCAACTACAACAACAACGCCAGCAACAACAACCTCAGCACTACTACAGCAAAAACAAACAGCTGATCTGCCAACTATGTGCTCTCGTTTAGCTTCAGCAACTGCCTACACCTCATTGGTCGACCTAGTTCTCACAGCTGCGGCCAAACGTGATCCAAATAATTTAGCGCTTCATTTTTACTTGCACTATAAACCGACTGAAGACCTTGAGGGCCTTAAATATTTCAACATTCGGGCCGACTGCTATAAATCAATAACCGAAACTTTAGATTATTTATTATCTTTGGTGAATAGCGTGGATAATCATACGTTGGATGGAAATCCTGATTCTGAGATGGAAAATGGCGGATTAGGCAGTAAGTTAGGAAGTCTGGTCTCGCCACTGTTTGGCATTGGTGAGAAAAAGAAAGATGCAAGCATGATGAATAATAATGGAGGGGTGGTGATTAGTAGAGAGGAAGCTGACAGGCAGGTTTGTCTCTATGTATGTATGTATGTATGTGTGTGTGTGTGTGTGTGTCTCTATGAATGTATGTGTGTGTATGCGTGTGAGTGTGTGTATATATATATATATATATATATATACACTCACTATATATATACATACATTTGCATACACCGACAGATCTCAGAGATGTTACACACAATAGTGAAGTCAGATGATCAGATGTGCCACTATGCACTATTCACCTGGATGATATCTAACAGCATGCAAGACAGGCTACTGCAGGTTGTAATGTGATTGGTTGAGGTGGAATGTCTCTAACTGGGATTGGTTGGATAAAATGTGCCTCAACTTTGATTGGTTGATAAGGGTTAGATACTGAAATGTGATTAGTTGGATAGAATAGGATGACGAATCGTGATTGGTTTAATGTGAATTACGTTAAAATGCGATTGACTAAGATGGAATATTATAATTATTTTATTTTAAATCTAAAGAAACCAAAAAATTCACAGCTCTCATCGCCGTACATGGAAACATTCCTGAAAATAGAATCGACACCCCAACAACTGCAGCCCCAACCACAGCAGCAGCAGCAGCTGTCAATACAGCAGCAGCAGTTTCAAAATTCCATATCCGATCTACTAACCAGGTACTACATTAGAGAGAAGAAGTTCACCCAGGCTGCTAGAATATTGGACAAGATGGCACTGGAACCAGGGTTTGAAAATTTTTTAAATTTATTTTTTCGTTTATCCATTTTATTTTCCATTCATTCGCTCATTCATTCATCCATTCACTCACTCATTCATTCAGCCATTCATTCATCCATTCATTCATTCATATAGCTCTCCATTCATTCATCCACTCTAATCTCTCATTCACTTTTTTATCAACAGGAACCACATAACATTGAAAGACAGACTCGATTACATGTCCAGAGCCGCACTATGCCTGCAATCATCATCAGCCCTACCAGCATCATCATCATCATCTGGGGTTGTTGGTGGGGTGGGGGTGCCTCAGACAGTGGGTGAATTTATGAGGGAGGTGCAGGAGAAAGTTGAGGTTGTTTTCGGTGGTTGTGGTGGTGCTGTTGTATTTGTCAAACAATAAATGGCCATTGAAATTCAACCAACCATTAAAATTTAATTTTACAAGTATTGACCAATAGCCAATAAAATTCAACCAATCAATCAATCAATCAATCAATCTATCGATCAATCAACCAACCAAACAACCAATCTACCACCAAACCAATCAACCAACCAACCATTCAATCAATCAATCAATCAATCAATCAGGTGATCCTATTACAAATGGAGGTTATGAAATATATAGAAAGGTCGGCGGACAAATTCGATAGCAATGAGATAAAAATGGTCGTCATGAATCTAAACTCACAACTATACGACGTATCTGAAGTTGGTTACACAATTATTTATCCATTCATTTTATAATTCATCCATTCATTCATTCACTCATTCATTGATTCGTTCATTCATTCATTCATTGATTCGTTCATTCATTCATTCGTCCATTCATTCATTCATTCATTCATTCATTCATTCATTCATTTATTCATTCGTTCATTCATTCATTCACTCATACATTCATTCACTCAATCATTCACTCATTCATTCGCAGCTGTATTCGAAGTTTGCGATTCCATTTGAGTTGTCGGCTTGCAAGCTGGCCATCCTTCACAGCTCAGGTCACGTCGAGGTCAACCTCATCCAATCACTTTGGAAGGAAATTATTGTTAATGGTTGGTTGGAGTTTGATTGGCTGATTGGTTAGAGTTGATTGGTTGGCCGGTTGGAGTTTGTTGGTTGGCCAACTGGTTGGCTGGTTGATTGATTGGTTGGTTGATTGTATAGGCTTTTTTGAGTTTTGTTTTGGTACTTTTTCAATTTAGCTGCTACTTCGTTTATTTGCTTTTGTTAGCATCATCATCTCTTCTGCTATGTCATTATATCATTAGCAGCAGCTTCATCGTCGTCATCACCATCATCAGCCTGGTCGTCATCGTCATCAATCACCGTACTTTCTAGAATTCTCTCAGACAGCCAGCAGGGCAGCAGATGTGCATTACAGCATGCAGACCATTTCAACTGCTCTCTCCAGCGTTGGAAAGCTGTACCACAAAACCGACCACTTCTTTCCTATTGGTTGGTTCGATGATGATGAAAATGATGATGATGAGTTTATACGTCCGTTTATTTTAATTTGCGTTGAGTTGTTATATACTGATCGGTATTATTTAACTTTAACGAATGCAATCTTATATTTGATTGAGTTTTTAATTGCTATAATTGACATTTAAACGCTATTTCAAGTTAATTAGGACAAATTTATGCTAATTTATGCAGACTTTTTGGTACAGTGCCTAGAGCAAATGAGTGTGCAAAACGGGTTTGACCTTGTTGACCTGTCATTTGTTTACAAGATATTTTTAGATATCGGCGTTGATGTCGTTCAACTACATGAGGCGTACGAAAGAGTGTACAGACAGAAGGTTTGATAGTGATGTCGTGAGGATGATGATGATGATTGTTGTGATGATGATGATGATGATTGTTGTGATGATGATGATGATTGTTGTGATGATGATGATGATTGTTGTGATGATGATGATGATTGTTGTGATGATGATGATGATTGTTGTGATGATGATGATTGTTGTGGTGATGATGATGATGATTGTTGTGATGATGATGATGATTGTTGTGATGATGATGATGATTGTTGTGGTGATGATGATGATGATGATGATGATGATGATGATGATGATGGTTATATAGGTGATGACGATTGTTGTAGTTGTGGTGTTTGTGTAAGATTGATGGTGATGATTTTTTTTATCATCT